TCTGCCCCTGACAAAGCATCTGCACTGGTGGTCTCATTGTGAGGGCAGTCGGTGCAAACGGGCGTGGGGGGACGGAAAGGCACTACCATCACTTGCTTAGACAAAATGTCGCATGCTACCTTTTCCTTTACTATTTAAAGGCTGTTTTGTATTTTATTTACAGATAGTTTGGGGCAGAACTCAGTTTAAGGCCGTCTAAGTCCTCCTTTCCATTTGTCTTCCTTGGTTTGGAAATGTACCACCCAGGACTGCCTGAGCTGAGGCAGCAGGATGCTTCATGCTGGAGAGCCAGACAAAGAAAATCCTGCATGTGCACGTCCTGTGTGTAGCAGGGTTGTCTGTCAGATACCTTCGTTTTCTTACTAATGATAATCGACTTATTGCTAGAGAATAAATTTGAGTTATTTTGAGAGGGGTGGATTACAAGAACAAAAGTAATTGCTTGTCTTATGCTTACCCATGCCCCTTCCCAGGGAGGTTAAAAACAGACTCTTTAATTTCTTAGCAGTAAATGGGGAAAATAAGCAGACAACCCACAGTCACTTAAGTCCCTGAACCATAAGAACAGGGCTTCCAGGGTGAAATCCAGCCTGGTGCCCTGTGAGCAGAGCGCTGACTGGAGTTGGGCGGGAGGATCCCACAGGTGCAGAGCTCAGAACCCCAGCTTCCTGTGAGGTGCCTTTAGAGACAGTATTCCTTCAGCCCCAGTGGGATAAACAGATTTCCAGGGTGTGTTTCTGGAGATTTCGGCAATGGCTCTCTGATGGCGACTTCTGTAATTGTGGTTGCATTATCCCTGAAAGGGAACTCAGAAAGGCTTAACCGTTCAACATGAACATTAGAGTCAGGCTGCATTTGGCAGGGCTGGCGGAGAGGCCATCATTTTCCAAAGCTTGAAAAGCTTTGTCCAGATTTGTGTTGCTGCTCTGGGGTGCACAGCAGCCTTGTTCCTAATGACAGGCGAGGGTTTGGAGGATGTAGAAAAGGAGAGCTTTCTGCTGACCAGCTTCTCCCAGGTCCTATGGGTTCAAAGGAGATATGAGAGAGAGCCTCCCAGTGCTTTGTGGGAAAAAATCTTTTCTTTCCCCCCTTAAACTACAACCTGACAACTGTCAATCTTTGAGTTTTTTTTTTTTTTTTCTAACTGAAGGTGTTTCCCATTCACTAGTCTGTTTACAAATCTTGTTCTTTCAGTAAGAAAGACTGGGTTTTGGCTGTGGTATGCTTTGTCCACATGCCTGTAACATAGTTTTCCAGTTTACCATTAGTTGGAACTCAGAGTTGGTTGAAACTGTGCCAGCCTAGTTGTCCTCAATTTGCAGTGGTGACTTGGACTATTTTTTTTTTTCCTTTTTCAGTTTGTGGCATAATTTCTGTGGTAATATTAGCCCTTGGAGATTTGTCCTTAATGCCAAGAGTCAGTATTTTCCCTCATGTTTCCCCAAACACCAGCTCTGCGCCTGGCCCGTTGTCCTCGATGGATGTTTTCGCTGTGGTCTGATACGTGCCTTCATATCTGTTGTTCATCTAGCATAACAAACCTACAAACATCACTTTGGTGGCATTCTGCCGCGGGGATGCGCCCTATGATTTCTATGTGCTTACACAGCTAGGTCGTTTTTTGCTTTCTGCTTTAAAAGTCTCCTCCCTGCATTGTGTGTCTTTTTCAGGTGATGGTGGTGAGTGCGGGGGCGTCAGACCTATCGCGCTGTGCTTGCTGCACAGACACTTCACTGCTGGGGGAATGTCGTGTACTTGCAGTGCCGCAGCAGCCGCAAAGAACACACAGAGACGCTGTGTTGATTATGAAACTGCCGGCCACTGTTTAGAGCTTCTTATGTCTAGCTCTATCTTAACTATCAACCCATAATTACTAATATATGTATTTCTTCCGAGAATGCCAGATTTACGTGTCCTCCCCTCCCAGGATCATATTGCGACTCCTCCTCTCGTACCTTTCCCAGAATCCTCCTTGCCTCCTAGACCCGCCCATCTTACTTCCCTATTGGCCAACTGTGTTTTATTTATCAACTTCTATGTATAGAAGACATCTATCAGGAATCAATAGATATTTCCCCAGAAGAGCAAAATTTGAAATTTTAGGGGCTGTAATGTAGTGAAATGTCAATTATACTGAAAATGTAATATTTGTGTATTGAGCATAACAAGTTGCAGATCTGACAGAAAAAAAATAAGTAATTTGGAATTTAAAGGTCATTTATTAATCATTTCTTGACTGTTTTAAAAAAAATAGGAAATTTTGATATTGCAACAGCTACCCTGAACACGTGTTTCCTTTTAACATGGTTAAACTCTAGTAAATACCTCTTAGTAGAGACACCACCTCTGGCCACAGACAAAGTAGAAGATATTTTCTTGATAGTACAGACTCTTCCACACTTGAAAGCACATATTCTTTAACTACAGTACTCTTACTCAATGTCAAACTGTATTAGAATTTGTGGTCTTCGCTTTGAGATAGCTTAATGAAATCTCTGTGATTTATGCATTTGCAACTTTTCTTCAAAAGCAAAAGGAAGATGATAAGGAAAAGTGATGTGAACTTGCCTGGTCCTGTGTTTGGCTGTGTTGTGTGAGCACACGCTACCCTCACAGACGGGGATGCTGTCTGAGGAGTAGACTTCAGGTCTTTCTTTGGCCCATGAATTCCCCAGTCTTCTCCTCCTCCTCAGGACATACTTACTCCATGCTGGGCTTGAATTAGCCCTGAGCATTTCTCCTCAGGGACATACCTTTGAGGAGTGTAGAGCCCCAAATGGCGCTACCTGATGCCCACTGGCCTTGCAGGAGGCATGGCTTTTCATAGGCTCCTCATGGGGGTAGAATTGTCCACACGGGAGAGGCTGCAAGTGGACAGATGAGCCTCTGTGCTTAAGGAGGGAGACAGAGGCATCGCCCTGACCGAATTCCACAGAGGTGGATGTTCTGTCTTCGTCCCTTACTTGTAGTCTCATTAACTAACTCCTTACAGTTTTATGTGGTTTAGATGTGGATATGAGGTGGTCCTGTCTATATGAAAACCGTTGTAAATTAGCGCGTAGCAAAGGAGCTGCTTACTTCTGTGACTCCTCTTTGGAGTAATTTGTTAAAGATCTGGAGGAGTTTGCTTTAGTCTCCTTTTGGGTGAGCAGGACTCACTCCACGCTTGTGGATGAAGTGTACACAGTATGTGGAGGCATCCATTGTGTCACTGTAAGCTGAGGGAACAGTGTCACTGAGGTCACAAATCTAAGTGCTGGGACAGCTTTGCAAAGGGCCTTTGCTTCTGTTTGTAGTTCTGCCTGATACTTTCAGACCGGTCCTTGTATCTGTTATTTCTCTCCACTTAATTGTTTGTCTAAAAATGAGGTTTTGAGACCCATGGGAAGATTCCCCAGGTTTTCTGTCCACATGCTATAACTCGTCACCAAGTATGTAAAGAAACCGAAGTGCCAGATGCCTTATAGCCCATGCCTACATTCTCCGCAAGGAGTGGTGAGCCTTGGGGCTCAGCCCGACCTGACGCCATTGTCTGGGGGAAGCTCAGTGTGGCTGCTGAAGCCGGAATCCCAGCGCTTGCCAGGCAGAAGGAGGGATGGTGTCCGTTTGAAACCAGCCTAGGAGACCAGGTGGTGAGTCCTGCGTTAACCTAGGCTGTGGTGGGAGACCCAGTCTCAAAATCAAGACCCGAAGGAATGTCTTGTTCACTGCCAGTGAGAAGCATGTGGGTGTTGTTACATCATATCTCGCCGTTTGGTCGTGTGTGGCATATGATCTTGCCATGCTGTGTTACAGTAGATCAGCCTGGGTGCTTCCCCAGATCCTGGCAGGACAGACAGACAGCCGTGGGCCGAGCCCTGCTGTCTCTCGTTCTGAGCTGTCACTGCACCCTACCCCTTTCCTCCTGTGTTGTGTGAAGGTGCATATGTGCCGCGTTCTCGAGAGGGGTTGACTAGTGGCTTCAGAGAGAGCAGCGGTGAAGGCTGCCTCGGAAAAGCGTCTCAGTCAGACGGCATCAGCAAGCGCAGTTCCTTGTGGGCCAGTCCTGGGCTGAGTCCTGTTACAGAATTGGGAAAAATTAGGTACAGCGTCGTGTTTGATTGGCCCTCACGATGGCGGCTTTGTTTGTCATCCCTTACCAGCCTGTCAATCAAAGGATGGCCGTGCACCATCTGTGTGGCAGAGGGTGCCCTTGGTGTGCCCGCGTTAATTTATTAGAAGGGATTCATACACGTTTTAGTGGGCGTGGCAGTGGCAAAGCACGAAAGTGTGGATTGAAAGATAATTTATAGCTTGGGTGTTGAAGAATGAACCTCAGAGGAATGATGTTACGGTGTTTATGGAAATGTTGCCGTTTATGTCCAGCTCCTTATTTACAAATGTACCTAGTCAGTAGCAATTCTCTGAGTCCCCACCTCCTCCGCCTCTGAAGCAGGTGACCCAGGAGTCGGGCTGAGGTGCTCTGTAAAGCAAGGAATGACCGTTCAGAAGCCTGGACTCCAGGGCAGTTACACTGGGATCGTTCTGGCCATAAAGAACTGAAGAATGGGTGTTAACAGGGTTACTAATTATGGCTGGGCCGTCTTATTTTCGTCAGAGGGGATAATGGATGATATGAAAGTCTGCATATTACTGGACTTTGGAGTTTATTGGAGAATACTACTCAAATACTTGCATTTATGCTTTTATTTTTTGAGACAGAATCTCACTGTTTGGCCCCGACTTGCCTGCCCTTCACTGTGTAGGCCTGTCTGGCTTCAGACTCACAGAGAACCGCCTGCCTTTGCCTCACAAATTCCTCCCTGCCTCTCTGCTTGCCCGTGCTTTCAATGAACTTTTTTCTAACAAAACAAAGCCATCGATTTCCTTCTCGGTGTCACCGGCGGACTCAATGTTATACATGCCACTGGGGTATAAAAGAAGAAATTGTCAGTTTATGGCTGTTTCGGAATAAAACCTGAAGAGCAAATTACAGATTCAACTTCTTCTTTCCCTTTCAGGAAAAGCATAAGCAAGAGTTGGAAGACATGAGGAAGGCTGGGCACGAGGCACTGAGCATTATTGTGGATGAGTATAAGGTAGGTTCAGGAGGTTCTGCTAACTTTGCAAACCCCAGGGAAAGAAAGGTTTACTCTTGGGCTTGTAGAACCCCCCACACACGAGTCATAGACCTGCCATATAGCTTCGTGTGTTTGCCAGCCATCTTCACAGTCGTAGATCGTGGCTCCACACACCCTCCGGGAGGGAGGGTTGACTTTGGCTCATGGTTTTGGAAGTTTTCCCTCAGTCTGTTGACTCCCTGACTTGGACCTGAGTTAAAGCTGAGTGTCACGATGGACTATGTGTAGCAGAGATGTCCAGGTCGTGGCATCCCCGGAGCTGAGGGAAAGGTGGGGCTTTAGAAGGGCATGAACCCAGGGACCTACTGCTTCCCCATAACACTGAGAGGGGAGCTCCTCCACGATGAGTCACTTTCCAGAAGATCTCTTCATCTGACACCAAGGTTTTAACATGGGAAGCTTTGTGGGACCGTCCAGGTCCAAGTCACACCTTATTTGGTGAGTAATCCACTGGTGGAGTTCGTGGCCATTGAAGGTATACTCACTGATTACAGAAAACACTAAACATTGTGTCACACACACACACACACACACACACACACACACACACACACACACGACTGAAAATATCTGAGGCTCTCAGCAGGTGAGGTCTAATGCAGAATAGTATATAATTCATTAATTTGCCTAGTGTCTTTACCGCTGACATGTTTTTGTTTTTTGATTTTTTTTTTTTTACCTCTGTTATAGGAAAAGATTAAGATATTAAATGAATTTGGAAGAATTATATACCTTTCAAAAAATTACCTAAATAGATTCGTGTGTCATTAAGCGGTAACAGAGTATGATCATATCAGTGGCATGTAGTAAAATTGGTATGTAATTTACCAAAAGGTAGCCGCAGATCTCCTAAAACTGGAGTTACAGATGCGCGGGAGCTGAGAGCCGAACCCAGGTCCTCTGCAAGAGCAGCCAGTGCTCTTAACTGCGGAGCAAGCTCCACAGTGTTCTTGTTTGTATCATTCTCAACACTGGTAGTCCATGAGGTAATAAACCATATGCATTCTTGTGACATTCTTTGGCATTTTTTGGCGGAAGCTGGCTGAGACCCACTTACCCGTATCCGTTTATCTACCGTTGTCAAGGTTTAACGTTCACAGTAGGACTTTAGAGTTCCGGTGTGTCGTTGTGATTTGATGGAGAGGGTTGGGAACTAATCGAATCGCCTCTACCCACAGAGTGACATTGAATCTGTCCTGTCCTGGATAACGAGTCTCAGTTCAGACAGCATACCTTTGTTCCCATGAACTGCTTGTGGCTGTGTCCACCCACAGGCCTCTCTCCTCAATAACTCGTTGGTGAACTCCTCACCCAGCACAAGAGAGCTGAGTCCACTGAGAAGAAGCACTCAGCTACTCTGGGACTGTGGGGTCTTCCCCTCAGGTACTCCAAACGGGAGTGTAGCCAGGCCGTGTCCTCAGCTTTCCCTCTGAGAGTCCAACACCAGAGAGCCCTGGGGTGCAGCGCACTCTACTGCCGGAGACAGTCTCCAACACGCTGTAAAGCTTCATGCTGTTCCCTTCCCACCTAACTCTACCATTAGGCTTTACCGTTTCTCTCTCCCCGTTGGGTCTGCTAGTCTTGGGAGTTGGCCTGATGTGGTGTGTGGCCAGCTCATCAGCCCCATCATTGGAGAAGAGTCCCTCCCTCTCCCAGCAGCTATCATCAGATTCGGACTGCTTCTCAGCTGGTGGGATTTCATGGCCACTGCTCTTCTCTGCTGGGATTCTCTCTGGCCGCAGTTTAGGAAGTTCTTGTCCATGCTGATACGATTTCTGTGAGTTCTTAGTCCTTCTGTACTATTATGTCTAGAATTTCCTTCAAGTTGCCCACTCGCGCTAACTCTTAACATCTTTGCACCCCCTTTTCACAGAGATTGCTGAGCCTTGGGTTAAGGAGAGTTTGATATAAATGCTGGCTTAGGACTGAATATTCCATAGTCTTTTGTTCTCTGTGTATTGACCAGCGTTTGGGGGCATGTGACTGTGTTAGCATGGTTTCTAGATCCGCTACTGCCCAGGTGAGATGTCACTTTTTAAATTATTTTTTCTTATTTGATGTATGGATCCCAGTTACCTCTCCCTCCCATTTTCCCATGCTCCCCCCCTCCCCCCCCCAATCCCATTCTCCACTCACTCCACAGGGAGGGTGAGGCCTTCCAGGAGGGATCATCAAAATCTGTCAAGTCATTAGGAGTAGGGTCTAGGCCCTCCCTCCTGTCTCTAAGCTAGGGGAGCATCCCTCCATGGGGGATGTGATCCCAAAGTCCTTTCATGCACCAGGGATACATCCTGGTTCCACTCTTGGAGGCCCCTTAGCCTGCGCAGGCCTTCTCTCTCTCTCTTCCCCCCTCTCTCTCTTGCTCTCTCTCCCTCCCTCTCTCTCTCTCTCTCTCTCTGCTCTTGTCTATTCCTCTCAGACTTAATCTTCTTGGTCGTACATGTTCTCCTCTCCTCCCCTTCTCTTTTTCATAACTCCCTCTCTGCTAACTGTCTCATCCACCCCTCCATTCCCCCCGCCCGCCCCATCCCCCCTCGCTCCCAATTTACTCAGGAGATCTTGTTCCTTTTCCCCTTCTGTGAGAGACCTTGTATGAATCTCTTAGGTTCCTCCTTGTGTCCTAGTTTCTCTGGCGGTGTGAATTGTAGGCTGGTGATCCTTTGCTCTATGTCTAAAAACCATATATCAGTGATTACATACCATGTTCCTCTGGTTTGACTGGGTTACCTCAATCAGGATGGTTTCTTCAATCAATTTGCCTACGAATTTCAAGATTCCATTGTGTAAATGTGCCACATCTTCTTTATCCATTCTTTAGTTGAGGGGCATCTTGCTTCCAGGTTCTTGTTATTACAAATAATACTGCTATGAACATAGTTGAACAGATGTCTTTGATGCATGGATGTGGATCATTTGAGTATATGCCTAAGAGTAGAATTGTCCAGTTCTGTGGTAAACTGATTCCCATTTTCCTGAGGAACCACCATACTGATCTCCAAAATGGCTGTACAAGTTTGCACTCCCACCAGCAATGGAGGAGTGTTCCCCTTTCTCCACATCTTCTCCAGCATAAGCTGTCATTGGTGTTTCTGATTTTAGCCATTCTGACAGGAATAAGATGGTATCTCAGAGTTGTTTTGATTTGCATTTCCTTGATGGCTAAGGATGTCTTTCAGCCATTTTGGATTCCTCTAGTGTGAATTCTCTATTTACTTTTGTACCCCAATTTTTAATTGTATTACTTGGTGTTTTGTTGACTAGTTTCTTGAGTTCTTGGTATATTTTGGAGATCAGCCCTCTGTCAGATGTGGGATTGGTGAAGATCTTTTCCCAGTCTGTGGGCTGCCGTTTGGTCTTGTCAGCTGTGTCCTTTGCCTTACAGGAGCTTCTCAGTTTCAGGAGGTCCCATTTATTAATTGTCTATCTCAGTGTCTGTGCTACTGGTATTATGTTCAGGAAGTGGTCTCCTGTACCAATTTGTTCAAAGGTACCTCCCACTTTCTGTTCTCAGAGGTTCAGTGTGGCTGGATTTATGTTGAGGCCTTTAATCCATTTGGACTTGAGTTTTGTGCATGGCAATAGACATGGGTCTGTCTGCAGTCTTCTACACACCATCATCCATTTGTGCCAGCACCATTTGTTGAAGATGCTTCCCTCCTCCCGTTGTATACTTTTAGCTGTTTTGTCAAAAATCAGGTGTTCGCAAGTGTGTTGGACTGGAGGGATAGCTCAGCCATTAAAGGCTAGCCTCACAACCATAAATATAAGAGATGCCACTTTTTAAATGTCCAAATGAAGCAACTTTTTTGTTTTGTTTAACCTACTATAGAAATAAATCATGTCATGATGTGAACTTTTCTTTAGTTCTGATCTACTCTGCAGCATTTCTGGAGTTGTGAAACAAGAGGAATTTAGTCCTTGTGATCCTAACAATATATACAACCCAATCCTGGATTTTAATTTCTTTAAGCTTTATAGTAATTCTATATTAATAGATGGATGTTCTACCTAATGCTCTCAATGGAGATTCTGTATAACACTGTTCACCTTTTTTCTGAGGAGTGTTTTATAGTGCCCTAAATTTGTACTCTGTCTACGTGCTCCTGCTAGTAGACCTGGTCGCCCAAAATCAGAGGTTTTATAATCAGAGGTGAATTGCAGAGCTGGACTCTTGTTGTTAACTTCTGTGGCCTCGGGGCAGCTTCTCTGGGGATGACTTTTATTGTCTTCAGTGAATAGGGAGTAAAGAGGTATCCTGGCCATGGGATATTGGGCACATACTGAACAAACCTGTTCCATGGGTAATAAGTCTTAGTAGATGCTGGCTGGTGTGTTCAGTGTATTAGTTTCCCAGTGTCACACATGAGCATCCTTTCCTTGTTTTATCCCTGGCCAATCTCTTTTGCTTCTTTAATAGGACAGTATAGATGTTTGTTGCAAACTTGTCAGACTCCCTTGAGAGCAGGAGATAGATGGTGGCCCAGTCTAGCCTTTTGTCCTTTTGGTCTCCTGGGTAAAAGCCAACATACCTTCATTCGTTTAGACACTGAGTAGGTTCACCAGGGCATGAGAACCATACAGGAAGGTCTGTTGAAGAACAGAAGAGCACCAGCTGGAGAGACCATTGTACCGAATACATGGACTGTGCCACAGTGTCTGCTGAGTTTCGCCTATTTTCCTTTTTTTTTTTTTTTTTTTTTTTTTTTTTTTGCGCTGATTGTTTATGAACATAACATAATAATCACTTTAGTTTAACTTATTTATTTATGTTACAGCCTGACTGTAGTTCTCCCTTCTCTCTTCTCCTTCCATTCCCTACCCCCACCTTCCCTCCATACCCCCATCCACGCCTCTATTTCTAGCAACAAAGCATGGCCTATCAAGTTACTATAAGACTAAGCATCTCTCTTTGTATTATGGCTGGGGAGTATGAGGAGTAGGTTCCCAAGAGCCAGCTA